TATATATGTATATATATGTATATATATGTATATATATGTATATATATGTATATATATGTATATATATGTATATATGTATATGTATATATATATATGTATATATATATATATATATATATATATATATATATAAATATATATATATATATATATATATACATATATATATATATATATACATATATATATATATATACATATATATATATATATACATATATATATATACATATATATATATACATATATATATATATATATATATATATATATATATAAATATATATATATATATATATATATATATATATATATATATATATATATATATATACAGTGGCGTAGTAATAGGGGGGCGAGCGGGGCGAAAGCCCCGGGCGCCACTTCCCTGGGGGCGCCAAATCCGAAACAGGGACTTATGAATTTTTAAAATTTAATCTTGACCAAATATATTAATGAACAGAATAGGCATATATAGGAAACGGCTTGAGTACCCATTTTTGACAACTTATTATCTCTTATTCGGTTTGGACTATATACTTATAAATATTATGTGTGTCTGACGGGCACAATATCCTCGTTGGGTCATTCCCCATAGGTACACCCTTTATTCTCACCCGGTCCACCAGGTCGCCAACTGGTGAGTGGTGATGAAGGCTGACGGCGGAAGGCAGGCTGCTTTCCACTCCAGTGTGCTTCGCAAGCTACATAGTTGCGCGGGAAAAAATGGAGATGTAATCGGCTCATTCGGCTGGCAGCTTGACAGGTAATAAGAAGAACACAGAAATGCTGAGCGATTTCGTCAGTTAATGATGCCGCGGTTGCCGCCCAAAAAATCACACAACTCTGGTGATGGAGAAACAGAACCGACTGAAAATCAAGAGCAACCGTGTAGTACAAACACAGAATTGGGCGATAAAATTTACACTTCAACAAATATCCCACACGATTAAACTCGCGACAAATCTACTTCACCTCCAATAAAATCAAACATTAGTCAGAGTGAGCCCCCAGCACTGCATGAAACAAATCTGCAAGAATATCCTCATGCTGCTGAGGCAAGTTTATTGCCAAGTCATTCTGGTAACACGGTCAATGAACGCGAATTAAACATGGATTATCCAGATTGTGTATATACTGACTCTGGCAAATGGCCACTTCCGGTGAATCATAAATTACGAATCGAACTCATTAGAACTCAAATGCTGTAACTTTCTTTGGAACAATAGAGATAATATTTGTTTATTTTTCGTCTTCAACTCATATATGGGATGTGCTGAAGAAACACACCAAGTTGACTGTCAAAAGGGTATCTGATTCTGATACCCGATGGAGTACTAAACACGATGCTGTCTCTGCTCTGAAAGGTAACTTGGACCAAGTCATTACTGCCCTGGAAGAGTTGAGAGATGGGGCATCTGAAAATCTAGCCACGAAAGGCGATGCTGGCGCTCTGCTGACGTGCACCATGTCATACACATTCATAGCATATTTGTTCTTTTGGGAGCCAGTACTAAAGGAAATCAACTACGCTCAACAATACCTGCAGAAAAGGGGGCTTTGTTTAGATCAGTGTGCGACAAAAATGTCTTCGTTATCCGTGTATTTCACTGATGAACGCGATGCATTGGTCTCCAATTCTAGCGAAGCAGCTCAAAGTTTCTGTGACGACAAGGGCATCAGGGTAGACCGTAGAGTAAGATGGCAGCGAAGAATGCCCGGGGAGCAAGTTCGTGACGATGGATTGACGGTGAAACAGGAAACTTGCAGAGAACTTTTAGAAATCATGGATCGTTTATTAGTGGATGTTCGTCTTCTTTGTTTGCATGGTGTCCTTCTGTGATACTTGAGGGTGAAGAAAACACCGATGAAATCTAAAGTAGGTTCATTTGAAATCAGCTCTGACGAAAATAATACGGAACTCTTCATGTTCCCCTGCCCCACACGCCAGGCTCCGTCTCTCTGTGTTTACTGCCAGACGTGTGACTACAGAGACAAAATAAAATGTTGTACTCTATAAATTGAACAGAGAATATCATTCTTTCATATAAGTGATATGCTACACAGCAATATAAACTAAACATAATCTTCTATATTTCACATGGTATAACATATCACACAAATGATAGTGTGTATAATATAATAACATAATTACCACAATATGCGTACGATAATACTGGCATTATAATCCATATGCATTGGCATCACAATATGGCACTCACAACTCACATTGTTATCACAACTCACTTCACTATCACAACCCACATCTCCCTCCCCCCTTCACGTTCATTAGCGGGAGTCTTGAACGGACTTCAACTTGATACGTTCCGAACGTCGAGGTTCAACAGGCACAGACGGGGCGGAAGATCCTGGTGCGTCGTCTGACTGCTGTTCTTCCAGATCTGCTGAGTTTCCAATCATGAGCTGTGTAGGGCGCAAGAAGCGTCGATTGCGCCACAGTATACGGCCACTTGGGAGCCTGATGTGATAATCACGAGATTTGCCAATACCCATGACAGTGCCGACCTTATCCCAACGCTTGGATGTGGGATCCTGGACTCGCACTTGCGCCCCAATCTCTAACTTGGAAAGTGAGTGGGCACGCTTGTCATAGCGGGTCTTCACGTCCTTGGCCCGTACTGCGGCACGACGGTCGCAGTCCTCAGCCTTGGTCTGCCACTCCTTCATGAAGGCACTAGAGTGGGCAGGCACACAGGAGCGAAGGGGCATGCCAAACAGAATCTGAGCAGGAGATCGACCAGTGAAGTTTGGGGTGTTACGTAACTCCAGTAATCCTCTGTCGAACTCCTCACTGTCAATATTTCCGTTGGGTGCTGTCTTCATGATCAGATGCTTGACCTTCTTCACAGCAGCTTCTGCATGCCCATTGGACTGTGGGTAATGGGGGCTTGACATAGCATGACGTACTCCCCATCGCTGAAGGAAAGTTGCAAATTCCCGGCTGGAGAACTGGGGTCCGCCGTCAGTGCGCAGGCGAACTGGCACACCCAGATCACGAAACAAATACCGGAAGAATCTGATGGTCGTAGCACTTGTTGCACTAGTTCCACATGGGATGACGACTGGCCATCCGGATAGTCTGTCAGCATACACCAAGAAGTGTTTTCCAGCAACACTGAAAAAGTCTGCCGACACAGACATAAATGGTCTGGTGGGTTTGTCATCCAAAATCAGTGGCTCCTGTTGCTGACTAGGCTGTAGGCGCTGGCATGGCTCACAGGCACGGACAGTGTTTACAATGTCAGCATTAATGCCTGGCCAAAAGACTGTCTGTTGTGCACGACGCTTTGTTGCTTCCACGCCACAGTGACTGTCATGCAGGCGAGCTAGGGTGCTACGACGTAAAGAAACAGGGACAACCACTCGAGGTCCATACAGCACCAAGTCACCATCGTTGTACAATTCACTGCGAATCTTCCAGTACGGTCGCAAGGCACTTGGCAGGTTGTAGCGGTCTTTGGGGAACCCTGACTTTACATGGTGAAGCAACTCCTCATAAGAAGCATCCTTAGAGGCAGCTGTACGCAGTTCTTCCAAGAAGAGATCCTCTTGCTCATCTATGGCTTCTGATGCTTTAGTAGACTGAACAGCATGCAGAGCTACAATCTTGACAGAGGTATCCATTTCAGCATCGAAGGCACCGTCTTCCATTGTTGGGCGACTCACAGGTGACCGGGAAAGGGCATCAGGGATGCACAACTCCTTACCTGCACGCCACATTGCGGTATAGATGTAGGATGCAACCTTTTCTTTCATGCGCTGGAGACGAGGGTTTTCAATTGCATCCAGGGAATAATGGTTCAAAATTGGAACCAATGGACGGTGATCTGTCATCACACTGAAGTGCTGAAGTCCACGAAGATAGAACTTGCACTTACTGATGGCCCAGACGACAGCTTGCATTTCCAATTCGATGGTCGCATACCGTGTTTCTGTATCTGTCAAGAAACGGGAACCACATTGCACCATCTTGTATCTTCCAGCACCGTGGTCCTGCAACAACACATAGCCAAGGCCATAGAGTCTGGAGGCGTCGGTCTGCAGAATGGTGGGAAGGGCGGGATCAAACGTCGCAAGTATGGGGGGCCTTGATAAAGCTTGTTTAGTATCAATAAAAGCCTTGGTGTGGTCTGCGGTCCAAGTAAAAGCTCTCTTCGGACTCATCAATGGGCGGAGTGGGGCTGCAGCAGTCGAAATCTTAGGCGTAAACTCTGCCAGTTGATTTACCAAGCCCATAAATGATCGAAGATCTGTCAGGTTTGCAGGGGTAGGAAACTCTGCAATGGCTTTTACCTTCTCTGGGTCTGCTTCAATACCATTATTTGATAGCGTGTACCCACAGAAACTGGTCTCAGATGCAGCCACAATGAATTTCTCTGCATTAAGGGTTATACCGTGGTGACGACACCTTGACAGGACTTCGTTTACACGTTGAAGGTGTGAAAGGTAGTCCTCATCATGTAGGAGAATGTCGTCCACAACCTTGATGCAATTTGTTACTCCCTGCAGTGCTTTGTCACCTCGGAGACAAAAGGCGTCTCCTGTTGCTGCAAAACCCATGGGGCCACGACAATACCTGAAACGTCCATAAGGAGTGATAAATGTCGTCAGGTGTTGATCGTCCTCATGCAGGGGTAGTTGCCAATAACCACAAAGAGCATCCACAGTTGTGAAGAACTTTGACTGTGGACTGATACTTCTAATGGCTGTAAATGGCGTCGGAGAAGGATGGGCAGGGCGAGAGACTTGTCTGTTCAGCTTTGATAGGTCAGTAGTAATACGTACACCACCATTTGCTTTTGGAACAACGACCATTGGATGACACCATTCTGATGGTTCATCCTCCACTGGCTTTAAGATGCCTTGGGTCACTAATGACTCAAGCTCCTTTCTTGTTGGTTCCTGAAAAGCTAAAGGAATCATTCTTGGGGTGTGGATTGCGAAGGGCGTGGCATTCTCCCGTAGATGAATTCTCATGGGTGGGCCTACCATCGTCTTGAGTGGCCCAGAATGCAGGTCGTCCTTCTTCACCAAAACATCTGCATACTTATGCAGGAAATACTTCCTTGCTTCTTCTGGTGACGTCAGCTGGTTCAGTGGTAAGGGCAGCAACTTAGGAGGGTTCGACATTGGTGCACTGCCCAGCCCATGGACTCGATTGGCAATGCGCATATCTGACATCTGCCTTGGAAAATAGTCCGGAACAATCCCCAAATTTTTTGCACTCGGTCCACGAGAGCAGCGGGGTTGTAAGCGAAGGCTGAACATCAATCCAACATGTAGTCGAACGGTTGCCATAGGTGATGATTCCACGAAAAGATCCAGCCGCTGGTGGCATCTGTGACCCATCCGCATTGTAGTATATGGTCTCTGCCGGTGGTGCCAAATCTTTCTTTGAGAGGCCGAGACTACTAAGATGCTGGAGTACAATGACAGTCGTGTCTGCACCTGTGTCAGGGATGATGGCAAGACTCCCTGATAAATCATTATGCCGAATTGACACGCGGACTTTAGGGGAAGGCTGAGGCTTCGGTCGTGCAGTAGAAGTGACACTCCTGGCATATGACACTGAAGGGGATACTGAACTTACTTGTCCTCTTCTTTTGTCTTCTTAGCCTTCCTTGTCTTTGGGCAGCATTTGTCATAGTGTCCCTGCCTGTTGCACACCCTGCATCTGGCATCCTGGCAGGACACTTGGAAGCAGTAGCCCAATGGCCTTTCTTGCCACAAGCACGACATGTGGAAGTGGTGGCCCTGCACAAACCTTTTTCATGTTGACGACCACAGCAGTTGCAGGCCTTATTAGGCGGAGGTGAGCCAGGCCTCATCTTGGACTTCTGCTTCAGGGCGGCCTTTTTCTCTCTTTTATATTGAGAAACAGCACGTGAAGAAACTGTATCCTTCAAAGCAGATGATGCAGTCTTTGACGATTGGTGAGACCTGCATTTCTCCAAAACATCCTGCAACGTCGCTGAGCGGTCCATCTCAATGAGCTTCTGGGTAAGTTCCTCATCTCGTATACCCATTAATATGCCGTGTTTCTTCCACTGCTCACAGCATGCTTGGTCCTGTGCCTTGCAAAGGTCTATCTCCTGTGACAAGATTTTCAGGCGTATCCAAAAGTCATCGAAGCTCTCGCCGTCTGCTTGCTTGCACTCAGAGAAGGCCTTCCGTCGCAGTGCCTCATTACTTGCATTTTTTTTTGTGCGTTTCGAGCTTTGCCAAGACATCTTCCACTGAGCATGTTGGGTCTGCGGGCACGTCCAACTTGTGCTCCAGCACCCGTCGCATCTCAGCTGTAAGGCACATGCGTAGCTGTATATGCTGCTTTGATAATGGTAGGCTGACAAGATCCACCATAACAGCATAATCGGACCATTCGCGCTTCCATTCCCGAAATTGTTGGGGACTCGCGTCTGCTGTTAGTGCTTTCGGAGGCTGTATTGTTGCCCTCGGGGTCGGTG